TAGGAATAATTAGGAGTTTTGGAGAGATTGACCTACCTCTCGAATTGTAAGTCAGAATTTGTCTTTTAGTTGATTTGATTAATAATAATAAGCCCTAATTCAGCCTTAATCCCAATTGATTCTTTTTGAAACCTATGATAGGTATATTTATTTAGCACAGTGGTAATATCAGCAATTGCCTGGATAAGGAAGTGAGGCCCTTGTGGTCGATCTGCCTATGGATTCGTGTGTTCTGTTATTATTTTTTTTATCACATGCAATATTAGACAGTTCTTGGTGTAAAGTAATGCCTCTAAGTATTATGGTCGGTTGTATCCATATCAAATGCTTTGTATCTGATTCCAGTGTAATTTTTAAACTGAACAGGACTATGCTCTTAAGGTCATCACCGAAGCCAATGAATCTTGGGCCAAACTAGTCAAGAGATCAATATCCGCAGGAGAGCTGTCACTTGTATAGAGCGGGAACTCCCGGTGCTTGTACGTGTTAGTTATTTATTTAGATGCTTCTGAGAGCATTCCTGGGAATAATTAATATATAAATTCTGACATTCAATGCCATTTTTCCCTTATTGAGCTAGAATAATCTCTACCGGTCTATTTCTTTTGTTTACTTTGACGAAACATGTTGATTCTGAGCGGAATTTAGTTTATCATCACGTGTAAGATTTAAATTTGGTTTGCTATATGATTCTCTCTATTTAAATTGGCTGGGTGAATTCGGTTTTTAAGGTCAAGCTATATTAGAAAGTCCTCTTTTGTGATTGGTATAGCTATTAAACAAACATCTTTATTGCATCAAACCGCAGATTCAATCGGGTTTGTTTTTTAGACATTTTGCTTCATTCTCAAATGATATTTCAAGCAGCCTAAGAATAAGAATTGCCATTTCCATTCATACAAACAGTGCGTAAACCGTTCAGCTTCACTTGCCAGGATTTAACGTAAACACTTGGATCAAAAACCTGTTTTGGAGCTTTGTAAAATGTTTGTTCGAGTATGACAATGAGGATTTTTTTTTATTTTTTATTTTTTTTAAAAAAAAAGAGTGTTGGAATTGTTGAGAGATTGTTTTTTATTTTTGGGTTGATGATAATGAAAATCTTCGTTTTGGTATGTAGGATCGGAGGGTCATTCAACTTTGATGGTTTGGACTCAAATCCTAGGACTATACTGTTTTTAAACCTGTGGGTCTTTTTATTTAATTAGTTAATTAATTATTAGTAGTAGTTGCTGTACTAAGGCTATCCTTTTTTGGCTCAAAACCTGTGGGCATTATTGACGCAGAACAGTCTATACTCATACTTTTTTGGTGATTGGTTTTTTTCTTTCTTGGTAGGTTGCCAAAATCTCCCTTTTCCCTTGCAGGATCACAGATTCCCTCTGCTTTACGTACATATTTGAAGGCCAAAACTTTCTTCAACCACATCCACCCCTTAACAGTCATCTGTTTCTGCCTCCTAAAAATTCTTTACACTGATTTGTACATGGAAAGGAGACCAAATGTGCAGTAAAAATTTGATACGGGACAAAAGTATAATTTAGGTCCGCATGAAGCACAAGTTTTAGTTTTTTTTTTTTTTTTTT